ACCGTCAGTCACTCCGTGCTCATCAAAACAAGTCTGGGGAGGTCCTTTGCGGGCGGCCAGTTCGAGCCGCTTGCAAAGGACTTCTCTGCGTTTGCTTTTCTGAACACGGGACGGCTGACAGTAATGAGCAGCGCAACCGGCATCTAGGAGGTCCTAGGAGACCGGCTGTGCCGTGTAAGCTCCTGCTGCCGTTTCCCCACCCCCCACACCCGTGCTAACCCTAACCAAGACAGAAAATCTGAGGCCCCTCAGCTTCCCGAGCCTGTGACAGAAATCACTGCACGGCAGTTAGAAACTGCTGCGCGGTGTTTTCTTGCCATGTGCGCGGCCGCGCAGCTGCGCAGCTTAGAGGGAACAGTGGTGATCACACAACCTTGCGACACAGCAAGGGTCATAAATATGAACCAGTTGCCAAGCATCTGAATTTTGATCACATGATCATAGGGATGCTACAAAGGTTGTAACTGTGAAAAATGGTCCTAAGTCTCATTTTTCAGTGCCATTGTAACTTTGAACAATCATTAAATGTACTGTTGTAAGTCGAGGACTATCTGTACTCAATAAAGCACTTTAAACAAGGAGTCATTCAGCTGCAGCCCATGTTCTAGATAGCCTTCTAAAGCACCATCTCCTTAGAAAATCTGAAAACAGCCATTCTCACAGCCTGATGCTCCTTCTCCACTTACCACCTCTTTCTCAGATTTGAAGTCTTCTTCCAAGGAACGCATAGCATCAAGTTTTTCTGACAGATTAGGTGGGATGGTAGCAAAGGTCTTATAAACTATCGAGAAATAAGGAGGAAAGAAGCAATGAATATGGTTCAGGTAGATCTTGCAACAAAATAATATATAATCAGCCAGGCCCAGGCCCACTGTCCCATTCCCCATCTTTTCAAAGTTTTGTTCCCTTCCCCATCTCTTTTTCAAAGTAGTAGCATTCTTTATGATTTCAGAACAGGTTAAATCTTACAGCTCATCGCGATAGCCCTAGAAATATAATTTCCTCCCATCCTTGAGATGGGAATAAGGCTGGTAGTGACTTTAAACTACTTCAGTGGTGGGCTGGCAATGAGACAAAAGCTATGCTGTGAGGCCCCATCTTAGATAAAATGTTAGTGCAGTGTTCCCATAAGAACTGCAGGATGCATGGAAGAACTGGTTTTGGGGCTCCTTTCCTTTTTATCAATACTATGAGATTCACCCCTTCAAAAGGATCCTGGCCGCTTGTGATTAAGACAGTGACCTCACCCCCCTCTGCTCCCACAAAATATATGGAATGATGAAAAAGACAATTTTTCTTTTCAAAAAATATCCCAAAGGTGCTTTTTAAAGAGGCAACTGGACTTTCTGGTTGTCTCTTAAAAAAGCACCTTTGGGACAACCATGGCCTGGATGACTGAGAATCTCCAGACACTTCTAAAATACTTCAACAATCTATAGGTCAGTGATGGTGAACCTATGACACGTGTATGAATAGTGACATGCCACAACACCTTTGAGGATATACCAGTGTTTACCAATACCCAACGTTTCTCAAAAACACACCCCATTCTTGTGTGATTTTTGGAGGCCACGTGAGAGTGGTGTGTGCTCTTGTATAGCCTCCAGACCCTCCAGAAGTTGCCTATGCTCTTGCACAATCTCCACAGCACTCCAAAATGTTGTGAAGGGGGAGTACTTTTGTGTGGTTTCTGAAGGCAGCAGAGGCCATGGAAGAGCATTGTCCACTGCCACTTCAAGAATGAAAGCCTTGTGCAACGAGGAGCAGGGGCCTGTCAGCAGAAAGAGATCAGGTAAGGTAAACAAGGCATGGCAGTTCCCAAGAAGTGCCATATTGCTGGGCAACCATGGTCATTTTGAATGGCAATGGCGGCACTAGGGCTGAAGTCAAGGCCAGGGCCTTTATTTCAGGGTCAGCCTCAGCCCTACCACTGAATGCCACAGTTTGGGATGGCTAAATGGGGCAGGGGAAGATAATTGCTTTTCTTTAGTTTGGGGTGGAAGGTAGGACAGGATGGCATGCCAGCAGAGTCAAATTAGGCATTCCTGAATTTTTTACATGCCCAGCCCAAAAGATTCACTACTACTGCACTTGTTTTATTTATCCCTCCCTCTTCTTCACATGTGTTCTTGGGGTATCAGATGAGCTTCAAGGAAAGAAGTATATATTATAACACGAGGTGAGAGGGTTAAATGTATATGCAGTCCGTACGTGCATCGGTGAGGAAGTCCTGTAGCCTGCGGAGATCAGAATGGCCACATTTGTAGTAGTCCAGCATGGCGATCTGGTCTCTGAGAGTTTGGTAGAGGTCATTCAGCTGGGAAAGGGAGCGCAGGGCATCCAGCGTCTCCGCATAGCGAGTTGGAGCCAAATTGGTCAAAGCAGAGGGAGTCTCAGAATATCCCACAGGAGTGGTGGAGGGTAAGAGGGGTGCAACTCCAACCCCTAGCATAGGGGGCACAGTCAATTGGTCTGCTGGTGCAGCAGGTAAAGCAGGAGGTTGATATCCAGGTGGAAAAAGCCCAGGTCCTCCAGGCTGGCCAGGATATCCAGTTGGGGCTCCGGGATAGAATCCAGGGGCACCAGGATATCCAGGTTGTGTCCAAGTTAATGCTCCAGGATAGACTGGCTGAACCCCAGGGGCACCAAAATACTCTGCCTCAGTCCCAGGAGCACCAGGTTGGGCCCCAGGAGCACCAGGTTGGGCCCCAGGAGCACCAGGTTGGGCCCCAGGAGCACCAGGTTGGGCCCCAGGAG